AAGAATATGATAACAAAGCAAAAGGTTAAGAAATTACTTTAAAGACAAATGATTATATATATATGATAAATATATATATGTGATATATGTTAAAAATAAGAGTTGAAATGAAGAAAACAATAGATGGAATATATAGCAGGATGATTAAATCAAAGGACAAAGTAGTAAGCTGGAAGATCAAATTAGGAACTCACCCGGGGCAGGATTCTCCAGGATCTGGAGAATAGAATTATCAATCCAATAATACAAATCCCAAAAGGAAATTGAAAGATACGTAGAATACCAATGTATGTAAGGAAATACCAATACCTTGACACATCATAGTGAAATTGAAGAACAAAGTCAATAGAAATTATTAGATGATTCCATACAGAAAAGTAAGCCACTCACAAAGCAACAAAAATTAGACCAACATGAGACTTCTTATCAGTAATACTGGATTCAGGAGACAATGGAATAATATATTTGCACTTAAAAAAATTTTAACACCTCTTACAGTGACAGCATAGCTTACAAACATAAATGTGCATAAAACATATATGTAGCACATAAAGAAAAATTACAAAGCAAACACCAAGATAACTGCCACTGAGGTTATGAAACATGCCTGGCCACTTATGAAAATATCTGTGAAAAATGTAATGTAGCTCATTTTGCCTGTTTTTGAACTTTTTATAAATGGAATTTTACTGTATGCATCATTTTGTCCATATTTTTTACACTATGATTAGAAATTTATCCATGTTTGCTCATAGCTATAGTTTGCTCATTTCACTGCTTTATGGAATTTTTTTTTTTAAGATTTTATTTATTTACTTGACAGAGAGAAACACAGCGAGAGAGGGAACACAAGCAGGGGGAGTGGGAGAAGGAGAAGCAGGCTTCCCGCTGAGCAGGGAGCCCGATGCGGGGCTCGATCCTAGGACCCTGGGATTATGAACTGAGCCGCAGGCAGATGCCTAACGACTGAGCCACCCAGCCGCGCCTCACTGCTTTATGGAATTTACCACAGATTATTTTTCTATCCTTTTGTTAAGGAACAATTAGTTTTTTTCTAGTTTGGGCTATTATGAGCAATACCGTTATAAATACCTTGTTTTTATATCCTGAGATACTTGTCCAGAGTTCTTAAGGTATACGTTTGGGAATGACAATGCTGGGTTAGAGGATGTACACATTTCAACTTTTTAAAGATTGCCAGAGTGGTGTTCCAAAATCCAAAAAAAAAAGCTTTCTCTTGAGGTCAGAAATAGGACAACGATGCCCACTATCACCAATACTCATGCACATTTTTATCATATTAAGGAAGTGCTGTTCTATCTCTATTTGTATGTATTTATAAAATCTAAAAAATTTGAGCCTGTAATTTTAATGTGGGAAGATATTTGAGTAACCTTTTTTAAAAATGATAATGGTACTATTCAAATTTTCTATTCTTCTGCATCCATTTTGATAGGTTATATTTTTTCCTAAGAATTTGTCCATTTTATTTAAGTTTATTTGGTCATAATTCCCTTTATGCTTGCATAATATGAAGTAATGTCACCTTGCTTTAATTCTGATATTGGTTAATTGTATCTTTTCTAATTTTTTTTAGGTGATCCTGCAGGAATGTATCAACTTTATTGTTCTTTAAAAGGAAACACATTTTGATCTTCTTGATCTCAATTATATATATATTTTTTCTATTTCAATAATTTCTGCTCGTTATTTTATTTTAACTTCTGCTTTGAATCTCTTTTGTTGTTTCTTTTCTGGACTCTTGATATGGATTAGTTCATTAATTTTCAGCCTTTCTTTTCTCTAGTATTTATACTAAGACTCTAGTACTTATACTAAAAGAGCTAATTACTGCTTCAGATGTATCTCACAAACTCGGATATGCAGTATTTTGTTATTTTTTCAGCCCCAAGTATTTTCTAATATCCGTTATGATTTCCTCTTTAACATATGACTTATTTGGAAGTATAATTCTTGATTTCTAAATATATGGGAATTGTCTAGCTATCTTCTTGTTGATTTCTAGTTTAATTGCATAGTGGTTAGAGAGAACATTCTTCAGGATTTCAATCCTTTCGAATTTGTCTAGACCTGCTTTCTGGCCCAATATATGATCATTTTGGTAACTGTTTAATATATGTTCGAAAACATATGTGTTCTTACAAGTACTGGAAGCAGTATTCTGAACAGATCCATTAGTTCTAATTATGTTGTGATCAAGTCTTTCAAATCATTGTTAGTATTTTATCAGCTTGTTCAATTAATTATTGAAGAGAGGTAATTTCCTAACAGGGCAATTTGTTTTTCTACTACTCCTTGAAATTTTATCAGGTTTTCCATTATATATTTGGGGCTATGGTACTAGGTAAATATAAATTTAAAATGGAAACTTTTTATCATTGAGAAGTAACCTCTAACTACTTTTTTTCTATTTTGTATAACATTCATATATTTATACTAGCATTCTTTCAGTTAGTATTTGCTTAGCGTATATCTTTCCATTTTTTATTTTTAATTGTTCTGTTTCCTTATATTTTAGATGTATCTCTCAAAAACAGGGCACAGTTGTATGTTTTAAATCCAACACGAAATATTTATTTTTTTAATTGGGAGCAATTAGTACATTATTGTTATATGGATTTAAATCTACCACCATATTTTTGTTTTCTACTTTTCCTATTGTCTTGTTTCTTTTTTCCCTTATTTCCTTGCTTTGAGTTGTTAGAGTATTTTTTTAATCATTCCATTTATTTTCTCTACTTGTTTCTATCCTATTCAAAGTTACATATCCTGTTTCTATTCTTTTAGTGGTTGCCCTAGAAATTGTACAAGTGTTCTCATTGTATCAATATCTAGTACTAATCATTACTTAACCCCTACATACACACACACACACACACACACACACACTCACACAGATCTCTCGGTGTATTTGTTAAAGCACAGGAAATTTTCTCTAAAGATGTCTCTGAACTATCCACAGGGGTTATTGGGTTATGGGGGCATTGTATTGGAAGGAAAGGGGGAAGATTCATTCTTCTTATCAGAGTGGTGTGTATATCACATTAAATCATGACCAAATGTTAGTCATCATTGTTACTTGTAGGCTTTCTTTGTATAACTCACTTTTGCATTTGCTACAGAATATTTTGAGCATGATGTCTTGCTCATAGTCAATATTATTTAGGGATTGAGTCTGAATGGGGAAAAATTAAGTCTTTTATTTTCAAAACCCAAATTAAATGAAATTAATTATTAAAATGAAAAAAATAATCTCAGGATATATGAGTGCTCACTGGATTGGCAGTAACATAGCCCTCAGGAAGCTGACTGGCACTGGGCTGGACTTGGGGAATGCGGTAGGGAGGGTACAAGTTGTATCATAGGAAATGGTGAGAGCACAGAAGTAAAGTGAAATGTTTTGAATTAATTGAAGTCCTCAGTAGATTAATGTTTCCATAGCATATATTGTAAGGGTGACCTTCATAGTGTAGATTCACATAGAATGCACTTTTACACACTTAAAAACCGTATGAAAATGCCTTGCCCCTAGATTCATGGATCTTCTGGTCACAAATTCTTGGTTATAATTTCATCTATTTTTTTGAATGGATATATTTGTTGATTAAATACATGTACCTGCACATGCTTATCCAGGCACACCCAACTTCACCCTGCTTGTGGCTTCTTCCCATACCTACTTTTCTCTTTTCATTCAAGTGACAAAATTCTTTCCTTGACCACACTCTACTCAGGCTCCCCAAACTCTTTTTCATCTAGGCCTAGAATTTTGGATTTCCTGTTCTTCTCTGCAGTGTTCAATTTTAGCAAGAAAGTCAGTCTAGCTAGAGTCCCCCATCCTCTACATCTGGTCAAGCTTGATATCTTTATCTAATCAGTTTCCTGATCCTCCACCATCTTCCTGTTGATGTCTGATCACAGTGGACTGACTATTCCAAGAATCTTGTTAGGTTGGTTTAGCCCCCTTACTCCTGACGTTTCCTCTCGGTAATTTTCCATCCATCACCCCTCACCCTGCTCCTTGGCTATAAATTCCCACCTGCCCAATCTGTATCCCCCACTGCAAGACGCGGTAGCAGTGATCCTTATACACATGGCAAAGCACCCCCCCTTGAATGAAGTCTGCCTTACCATCCTTTAACAAGCCTCTTGAATAATATTTTTTTCTTTAGTATCAGTCTCTGCTCAACTCTTATTTTCAAGAGGATCTCAGAGACAACCACTTGTAAAACAACTTTCCTGCCTATGCCACCATCTTTATTTTCTTCAAAGTAATTATACTATTTGAAATAATAATAATAATAATAATTTTATTTATTTACTTAATTATTTATTCACTAACCCTCGGAGTATCCCCAAAGCCTGGCACACAGTAGACAATCACATATTTGTTGAACGCATATACGGTCTGTGGAATCCTAACAAATACAGGTAAAACACAGACTTACACATTGTGAGAAGAAAACAAAAAAAACTAGGTTGGAAGGGGCCTTGGATCTGAGAAGGGCCCTTAATGGGTGAAGAAACTGAGACTCAGTTGGGGGAAAGCCTTGCTCAAGGTAACCGAGGTGAGCAGAGGGCCTTTTGCCATACTAGGACGTGGGCCATCTCCTAACGGTCTAACGTGGAGGGGGCCAGCCTCTGCGAGGCAGGCATCTCCAAAAGGAGAGCCTCGTCGGAAGATGCTGTTCAGCTGGGGGCTGTGCACCAGGGCAGATGATGCAGGAGATCTACGACCAAGCCTGGGACGCCACTAGCCAGGAGCGTCTAGCATCGGTAAGCCCAGCTCAAAGGCTAGGCCTCACACTGGGCGCTGGGGCCAAGTTCACCCTCCGGCCCCAGGCTTCCTCCCACCGTTTTTGGCAAGCCGGCCGAGAGGCTGCCGGCTGGTCCCGGGCTGAAAAGTCTAATACGGGATAAAAAGACATGGTCTTGGTTCCCCGGGAAGTTTTAGAGAGACGTACTTGCCCCTCCCTTTCCGGTCGGGTTCGCCCGGTCTTCTCCGGCAACCACGTGTGTTTAGGCTGGACGCTTCCTCTGAGCTATTGCGGTTGTTGGTGTTTCCCTGATCTGGGTTGCCGAGGTCCTGCAGGGCCGTGAGGACGTCACCATGGTGGGCCCCCTCCCGCTCCCCTGAACCCGCTTGGCTCTCTGGAAGGCCCCCCTCGGGCAGGCTGGAGGGAAGGGGGCGGTCTTGGGATACTGGGAGAGGGGACCGGGCTAAGTGATTCTACTGGTCCGTACACTGGGGTGGGGGGTGCAGGGCAGGACAGTCCCGAGGTGGCCGCCTGGCCCCGCGTCTGGACCTTAAAGTTCAACTTCTGGGTTCCGAAGTGTTCACAGAGCGCCCTGTCCCTCGGGGGAAGAGACTCACGTTTACATTTTCTTGCTACTCACCAGTATGTGGGGGGCGGGAGGATGGTGGGGGGGAAGGTCGGCAAAACTTGGGAAAGCGTTGCCTCCGTACTGGTGTGCCACTTCTTGCCGGTTTAGACTGCTTAGGCTCAATCTCTTCTTTTTTGGTGTCCGATCGCTGCCCTCCAGTGATGTACTCGCTCCCCAAATCCTCCACGCCCCCCCTCCCAGTTCCCTCCAGGACGCTCAGACTATTCTGTTGTTTTTATTAAAAATTGACTAGATGCAAAAGAGTGCTTACATAACATAGTGAAGTATAAAGATTAGTAATGTAAGGAATTCTCGTTTATCCATTATCCAGTTTAAGAAATAAAACTTCTGAAAGATTCTGTGTTTCCTTCCTTGGATCTATAACGTTCAGGAGCCCCTCAGGTAAACAGTATCTAAATTTTGTATTTATAATTCCCTTGCTTTTCTTTATAGTTACCATTTACATTGTATTCCAAAATGGTTGTTTCTTCTTGCTTTTTTTTTTAAATTTATTAATATTCATTAGAATAATTCTTGAATAGGAAAATGTTTCATATTCATTTTCAACCAGTTTTTAATAAAAACAACAATGTAAAAAAGTTTATAATCGGGTAAGAAGTAATGATACTCTGGCCACAAGGCCTTTTATTCTCTTTGTTCTTTTTCCTTTTTCATTTTGTTGTATGCCTGTCATTTTTGTCTTTCACATCTATACTGTTTTTTCGCCTTAGATCATACACATTTGTATATGTATAAATTTAGTCTTTGCGCTTATCATTGCACTTGTGTTATTTCCAACCCTTTATAAGATAATTTTCTTTCATAGCTTTTCCGTTTCAGGAGTGGAACACTGAAACATTAGATATGATTGGGCGTTGGTTGGCATTTGAATGTAGTTTTGAGTATCAGAATTTCACTTTATCAGGCTTTATGGTAGGAGGATATTTCGCTGGCACATTTGCTGCCCTTTTCAGTTTTCTGGTACATCACCAGTGGCTCTGCTGTGCCCTTTCTTGAGTTTAAGCTCAGCTTGGTACTGGAGGTTTTCCAGTTTTTTTAATATCAGTTACTCTAAACTTCTTTCAGTAGAGTTTAGTGACTTAAAACAACAACATTAATTATCTCAGTTTCTATGAGTCAGGAATGAGGCATGGCTTATCTGGATCCTCTGCTTCAGGATTTCTTACAAGGTTGCATTCAAGGTATAATCTGAGGCAGTGGTTTCATCTCTAGGCACAACTAGGAAGCATGCACTTCCCAGCTCACTCACATTGTTTTTTGTAGGATTTATCTCCTAGTGATGACTGGACTCAGGGCCTCAGTTCTTCACTGCTGTAGGATGGCGGCCTGTCTCATTTGTTTGTTAGATAGGCCTCTCCGTGGGACAGCTTATTACATGATAGTTGGATTCTTTCAGAGCTAGCCTAGTGAGAGAGCAAAAGAGAATAGGCAAGATGGAAGCCAGAGTCCTTACAAAACCTAATCTCAGGATTGGTAGTTCCTCCATTGGCCAAATGTTATTCATTAAAAGTAAGTCACTAGGTCCACACTCTAGGGGAGGAGATTACACTTAGACATGAATATCCAGAGGTGGAATTCATTGTGAGAATCTTAGAGGAAACCTACCATGGGTTCTGAAACGTTTTTATTGTTTCGTGTTTGCTAGGTAAACTTCATGTACAAAAAATCCTTATCATACCGTTCTTTCTTGCACCCCCCTCACCCCACATGTGCAGAGAATAACACAAAAAAATGCACATACAGACATTTCTTAGAGATATTGTGGGTGTAGTTCCAGACTTCCCCAGTAAAGCGAATATCACAATAAAGCAAGTAAGATGACTTTTTGGTTTGCCAATGCATTGAAAAATTGTATTTACATACACTATACTGTAGACTATTAAGTGTGCAGTGGCATCTATCTAAAAAACAATGTAAATACCTTAATAAAAAATAGTTTATTGCTAAAAATGCTAACCGTCTGAGTTTTCTGCAAGTTGTACTCTTTTTGCTTGTGGGGGCTTTTGCCTCAATTAGACTGCTGACTAATGAGGGTAGAAGTTGCTGAAGGTAGGGGTGGCTGTGACAATTTCTTTAAATGAGACAGTAATGAGGTTTGCCACATCAATTGACTCTTTCTTTCACAAACAGTTTCTCTGTAGCATGCAATGCTGTTTGATAGCATTTTACCCATGGTAGAACTTCTTTCAGAATTGGAGTCAGTTATCCCAAACTCTGCCACTGCTTTATCAACTATGTTGATGTAATATTTTGGATCCTTTGCTATCATTTCAACAGTCTTCACAGCATCTTCATCAAAAGTAGATTCCATCTCAAGAAACCACTTTCTTTGTTCATCTGTAAGAAGCAACTCCTTACCCATTCAAGTTTTATAATGAGATTGTAGCAAAATTCAGTGATATTTTGAGGCTGTACTGCAATTCTTTTTCTCTTGACATGTCTACCACATCCGCAGTTCCTTCCTCCTTCCTAGTGAAGTCTTGAAACCCTTGAAGTCATTTATGAAGGTTGGAATCAACTTCTTCTAAACTCCCATTCTTATTATATTTTGGCCTCTTCCCAGGAATCATGAATGTTCTTCATGGCATCTAGAATGGTGAATCCTTTTCTGAAGGCTTTCAGGAATTTACTTTGCCCAGATTCATTAGAGGAATCACTGTATATGGCAGCTGTAGCCTTATAAAATGATTTTTTTTTTTTTCAAATAAGACTCAAATGTCAAAATCTCCTTGATCCATGAGCTACAAAATGGATGTTGTGTTAGCAGGCATGAAAACAACATTAATCTCATTGTTTATCTCCATTGGAGCTCTTGGGTGACCAGGTGCATTGTCAATGAACAGTCATATTTTAAGATTTTTTATTTATTTGAGAGAGAGAGAGAGCACAAGCTGGAGAGAGAGGGAGAGGGAGAAGCAGGCTTCCCGCAGAGCAGGGAGCCCGATGCGGGGCTCGATCCCAGGACTCTGGGATCATGACCTGAGCCGAAGGCAGACGCTTAACGACTGAGCCACCCAGGTGCCCCTGAACAGTTATATTTTAAAATGAATCTTTTTTTCTTAGCAGTAGGTCTCAACATTGGGCTTCAGATATTCAGTAAACCATGTTTTAAACGTGCTATCAACCAAACTTTGTGGTTCCGTTTATAGAGCATAGGCAGAGTAGGTCTCCCATAATTCTTAAGGGCCGTAGGATTTTGGGGATGGTAAATGAACACTGGTTTCAGCTTAAAAGTTACCATCTGCATTAGCCCCTAACAAGAGAGTCAGTTTGTCTTTTGAAGTTTTGAAGCCAGGCGTTGGCTTCTCCTTTCCAGGTGTGAAAGTCCTAGATGGCATCTTCTAGTAGGAGGGTGTATTGTATACATTGAAAATCTTGTTTAGTGTAGTCACCTTCATTATCTTAGATAGATTTTTCTGAATAACTTGCTGCAGCTTCTACGTCAGCACTCCCTGTTTTACTTTGCCCTTTTGGAGACTGCCTCTTTCCTTAAACCTCATGAACCAACCTCTGCTAGCTTCAGATTTTTTCTGCAGCTTCCTCACCTCTTTTGGCCTTCATAGAATTGAAGAGAGGTGGGCCTTTCTCTGGATTAGGCTTTGGCTCAAGGGAATGTTGTGGCTGGTGTGATCAATCCAGACCACTCAAAACTTTCTCTTTATCAGCATTAAGGATGTTTTGGTTTCTTATCATTCTTGTGTTCACTGGAATAGCACTTTAAATTTCCTTCAAGAACTTTCCTTTGCCTTCACAACTTGGCTAACTGGCACAAGAGAGAGGCCTAACTTTTTGGCCTATCTCAGCTTTGGACATGCCATCCTCACCAAGCTTAATCATCTCTAGGTTTTGATTTAAAATGGGAGAGGTCCAACTTCCTTTCACTTGAACACTTAGAAGCAACTGTAGGGTTAGTAATTGGTGTTATTTGTATACTGTTTTGTCTCAGGAAATAGATCTGAGGAGAGAGAGAGAGATGGGAGATGGCTGGTCAGTGAGAATAGTAGGGACACACAGCATTTATTGATGAAGTTTGCTTATATGGACACAGTTCATGGTGCCCCAAAACAATTACAAGAGGAACATTAAAGATCACTGATCACAGACCTCCATAATAAATATAGTAATAATAATGAAGTTTGAAACACTGCAAGAATTACTGAAATGTGACATAGAGACATGAAGTAAGCAAACGCTGTTGGAAAAGTGGTGTCCATAGACTTGCTCCATGCAGGGTTGTCACAAACCTTGTTTGTAAACAAACAAAAAAAGACCCCCACAATATCTGTGACGCACAGTAAAACAAAGCATGCCTGTACTGTTGTATGATGGTTTCACATTATTCTTCTGTACCTGTAACCACCTTCCAGTGCCATTCTGGGTTTCAGAGTAGCAGTTATCTTGGCTAGGTGTATCAAGAAGTGAGCAGTAAGTATTTGTTGGCATATTTCAGTGAATATTAGTTGAAGGAATGAATACATGTGTGAATGAGGAATTGGTGGTCATTATAATTAATTCTGCCAAAAGTTTTACAGAGGAAGTGACTTTGAGTTGTATTTTATGAAAAGACAAGGAAGGAAAAAAGGATTTTCCAGGCAGAGGTAACCAGTGCAGTTTTCAGAAGTTATGAAACAGCATGGTGTGTTCTGGGAATGGGGGAGAAGTTCAGTAAGAACGGGATGAAGGATGTTTTGAAGAATAAGAAATAATGCTGGAGAAGTAGGTTGGGGGTAGATTGTTTTCCACATTAAGGACTTGGGACCTAACCGTGAACTCGTTAGCAGGGGAGAAGGACTTTACCAGATAAATGTAGAAAAATAAGCTTTGTGACTTCCATGAAAAAAGAGTGAGCAGTGAGAATCTAAAGGCCATCCTGATCATGAAAAATCACGAGGCTGAATTAAGGCAATGACAATAGTTTTGAAGAGAAGGTTCTAAGAACCTTTTTGAGATTAGATATGTTAGAGATGGCCAGTTGTCCCCAAATAGAATCTTTTGTAACAATGTATTTTTTTCTGAGAATAACAATTATATTTACTACTCTCCCTTACATAACCCCCTGAATAAATATTGATCAATGGGATGTAAACAGAAGACTCCAGCTTCCTGAGATCTTGCTCTTAAAGGAAAGGGGTGTGCCTTTTGATTTTCTTTTCTACTTCTCTCTGGCTGAAGTTTAGACTTGTATTAAGTCATCTTGAGCTATACAGACATACAGGAGAGTATAGCCTCAGGATAGTAGATGGAAGGAGCCTGGATCTCTGAGGACTTTGTGAAGCAGAGCCTCCAGCTCCTACTTCCTACACGAGAGAACTAAACTTTATCAGGTTACACCATTATTATTTTGGGCTTCTCTTATAGGAAGTCAAACCTAATTCCAAAATAAAAACAGGTATGATAAAATACAGAATTATGTAGGAATATAGAGTTAAATGTCTAGTTCAGTGGGCCGAATGAATTGGGACCTTGTTAACTGGCATAAGGTTTGAATGGGAAAATAATTTGTTCTTTTTTGGGTGTGCTAATTTTGAGATGGCTTGTATTATTTCCTCTATTCCTGTTTTTCTATGAACCCAGCTTTGATTTTGCTTGATTCAGTGCCCACTCTGTTCCATGTGCAACTTCTGCAGTCAAGCTCTGCAAACATCCTATGTTCCTTCCACTTCCCGAGCTTTTCTAACTGTAACACAAATTTTTAACTCTGTCTTCTCCCTACCTGTATTCTGTTACCTACTTTGAAGATAGTAAGAGTTGAAGAGCTGGATTTATTGACCCTTTCTGTGCCTTTCTTTATTTTCTTATATCACTGAAGAGTAGTTTCGAATATATCATTTCTGTTATGACAATGGAAACCAATGCTGTTCCAATCATTTAACAGGTCTGGCTTATCTCCTAATTCCTAGAGTAGTGTTTATGGCTTATGGTATTTCTTATATTACTGTTTTTTAAATTTATTTCTAAAGGAAATTTTTTAACTGAAATCACTTCCATATCTGACTATGTGCGTCATGTATTTTCCTAATTTTAGCCTAAAGCCCTAAAGGGAAAACTTGTAGGACGGGAAAAAAAAGTCATCCACCCATATAGTAGAAAAGCAGCTCAAATTACAAGAGAGGCCCACAAACAAGAAAAAAAGGAAAAGTAAGTATCTTTTTATCGTTTGTATTATGCATTGGTGTAAAGCCCATTAACATTTATCTTTCATCAATATTCCCTTCTCTCTTTAATAAATGTTAAGTATGTTCAGTGCACTGAAGGTAAAACAGTGAACAAGGTTTCATCTCTTCTAGAGCTTACCTGAAGCAGAAACATACTTAAATAGGTTGTGATGAGTGCAATGAAGAAAAAGGAAAAAATTATGGGATGGAGAGTGACAGAGTGGTTCCGTTTTACATAGAATAGTCATGTATAGCTTATCTGAAGAAGTTCGTATTGGAGGAGAGCTAAAAGATGTGAGGGAAGGAGCTATGTAGATATATATTGGACATATAGGTTAAAGTACCATTAGTCTATTAGATATTTAGAAGGAGATACAAAATGGGCAGTTGGATATGTTGGGTCTGGTGTTCAGAGGATTGATTAGGGATGCAACACAAATTTGGGAGTCATCAGCTTCTCGATGGGACGGTGTGTGAAGAGACTACATAAGATTATCTAATGAGTAAATGTAGCTAGAAAAGAGAAGGGGGCCAAGGATTGATCCCGGAGGCCTCCATCACTTAGAGGTTGGGATCCAACAAGTCAGACTGAGAAAGAGGAAAAAGGAGATTGTGTTTCGAAGAGAAGGTGGTGATCAAGCTATGTCATTTGTTCTTGATTAATGTGAGAGCTGAGAATTAATTTAGTAATTTGATTTAGTAATTTGGAAATCATTTAGTAAAGTGGAGATCACTATATATTTTTTGTTATTTCTTAGTTGTTGCTCTGAAAATTACAACTAAATCTTAAAACAATCTTGTTTCAGATTAATGCAAAGTTAATTTCAATAGGATACAAAAACTTTGCTCCGTTGTGGCTCCATTCTCCCTCCTTTGTACTATTATTGCCTAGAAATTACATCTTTATACATTATAATCCCATAAACACAGTTTTACAATGATTGTTTTTACGCAGTTGGCTTACAAGAATACACACAAAAATGCATTTTTACTGTCTTGTGTATTTACCTTTTTTTTACTGGTGCCCCTTATTCAGCCTATAGGACTCCCTTTAGTGTTTCTTACAAGGCAGGTCTGAAAGTGAGAGATTCTCTAAGTTTTGATTATCTGAGAATATCTTAATTTCTCCTTTATTTTTGAAGGAAACTTTAGAATATAGAATTCTTGCATATAGAATTCTTGGTTCAGTCTTTCTGTTCAACACTTTAAATATGTCATCCCTCAGCCTTGTGGCCTGCACGGTTTCTAATGAGAATTCAGCGTTTATCTTATTGAATGCAATGAGTTGCTTTTCTCTTGATACTTTAAAGTTGTTCTTTGTCTTTGAATAGTTTGACTGGTATGTCTAGTAGGTGGGGATTTCTGAGTTTATCCTACATGGATTTCATCCTACATGGAGTTTGTTACGCTTTTGTGCGTAGCTCAGTGTTTTTCATCAAATTGAGAAGTTTATAGCCATTATTTTTCCAGATATCTATCTTTTCTGTCCTTTCCTCTCCTTCTGTGACTCCCATTATACATATGCTGGTGTTCTTAGTAGTGCCACACAGGTCTCTGAGACTCTTCATTTTTCTTTCTTTTCCACTTTTTATTGCTCAGACTGGGTAATTTCAGCTAACTTGCTCTTATGTTTGTGGATTCTTTTTTCTGTTGGCAAAAAACTGCTGTTGAATCTTTCTAGTAAATTTTTCATTTTTATTATTATATCTTTTAACTCTAGAATTTCTACTTGGCTCATCACTGTAATTTCTGTCTCTTTATTGGTGAAACGTTCTCATAATTTCCTTGAATTTTTTAGATACGGTTTTCTTTAGTTCTTTGTATATGTTTATTATAGGTGAATTCAAGTCCTTGTTGAGTAGTCCAGTTGTCTGGGCTTCCTTAGGAAGTTTCTCTTGGATGCTACTTTTAATCCCGGAATATGGACCATACTTTTCCTTTTTCGTTGTGTGTCTCATAATCTTTGGTTGAAAATTGGACATTTTCAATAATACAGTGTGACAACTCTGTTAAATAGATACCTCCAGCCTCTATACCCAGTTAGGTTTGCTCTTGCTGTTTGCTTTGTGACTTTACTAGACTGTGTTTGTAAAGTCTGTTTGTTGTGTGTGGCCATTGGTGTTTCTGCTCAGTTCGTGGTCAGCCAATGTTTGAACAGAGAGTTCTTTAAATGCCTTTAGCTAATAAGTCTCTCAGCCTCTGCTGAGGGGCTCTGTGAATCTATTGGGCATGCCTTTGACACACCAGGATGCAGTTTACTTAGACTTCGTTTCTTGTTTGCGTAGAGCCTCAGGGTTAGCCAGAGGTGAGAGATTAGGACCTGCTCAGGTCTCTCCTTAGCATGAACATAGTCCTGAATGTGCATAGTCCTGAATCTAGATTCCCAGGAATATGTTCGGGCTAGCTTTCAAGTCGTCTGTGGACCTTCCATTCCCCAGTTTTCCTTTAAAATTTTTTGGTCTACCTTTTGTTAGCCCCCAACTGGTAATATCACTGAAGCAGCTGCTATGTTAGATTATTGCTGCTGATTATTTTCAAGAAAAACTTGGGGATATAGCTGTTCCTATATCCTCTCTCCTCAGAGAGAGCTCTGAGTCAGATTATGTAAAGACAAAGTAACTTCAAGCTTCTTAACATGCTGCCTGTCAGGTCAAATGGTAGCAATTCTCTGGGGATCGAGGTTTTGGGGAACTCCAAATTTGATCTCTTTGGTGGCCGTTAGGAAGATGGCTTTTACAACTACCATGAGTTGCTAGTCCATTGGTTTTCAACACTGTTGCAGAGCTGACGAGAGGACGATGGATTAGGCACATTACAGCACCACAGGTTTGTTGTTCTTACTGAGATTGGCCTGTTTTTCTTGAGAATGTTCCTCGGATTCTTGCAAGCCTTTGTTTAATTTTCATACTTCTGAAAAAGTTGGTTTTGACAAGTTTTGTTACTATTCTCTGCTTTTATGGAAGAGTGGATTTTCGTAGGTCCTTAGGCCATTCTGGAAGTTGGTTTCTATTCTTGATGTGAAGAATTCATAGCAAAATTTTCTTCTTAGGAATGCAAAATGTGTGTATAATACCCCTTCTTTTCTGCTTCCTGTCCCTTAGTCTCCCCTCTCTGGGCAGCATCCCATGCTATAATTTGCCAATTCTCTGCTCCATCTTTGGCCTGTGAGAGTCCACAGGAGCTGCTGTAGAGACAAATAAAAAATTACTTAAAATGAAGTTATAAAGACAAAAGTCATCATTTCAGCTATTTTAAAATAGCCTTACCATTTTAATAAATGGTAGATATATTTCCATACTAGCTGATAGAAACCAGCACGTTCATTGTTATATATTAATTCCTTACCTAAAACCTAAAGGCATATTTAGTAAAGGTTAGCTGTTCCACAATGATTTGGCTAGAAGTTTTCTGGAAGAGAAAATAACCTTTTTCATAAAGGTTATTAGGATGGTAGTATCACTTTAAGCAATAATTTTCCAACTTTAAGTAATTTATGTATCACTTTCATGAATTTTGCTATGTCTTTTGACATGGTTATTACTTCTGCTATTTTGCAGTTTTTTTTTACTGTCTTTACTAGTTATTTCACAAACTTAGGTGTACACGAGATATACCTGTAGGGAATATTAAAATGGTTTGTTCTTTTCCCTAGAATTTTCCATCAGAACATCTGGGGCAGTGTCAAAATTTTGCATTTCTAACAAGTTTCAGGTAATGGTGCTATTGCTGCTGGTTCAGGGACCACACTATGAGAACCACTGACCTATGGCATTATTTACTTAATATTTTTTTAGAATCTGTTTCCCTTACATACCTTTTTATTTTTTTAAAGGAGACATTTAATCTGTATTAAAAACAAGTAAATACTGTTGCCTCTCATGTATGATCTGAGCCTGAGGCATGCTTGCTTTATCCTTGGTGAAAAGATTTAGCAAAGGTTGGAAGACTTGTTAAGTAAGCATTAAACTAAGTTTTCGAGAGGATCAAAAGAAAATGGGGGGGGAAGTAGGTTGCTTAAAGCTGATTTAATTCTGTGTCTATGAGACTCAAAAATCAGCTTATATAGTGCTAGTGGTATACGTGGCAATATTTTAGGAAATTCTTTTCACTGTAAGTACTTGTGCCAATGAGCCTAGAATCTTTGTATGTTGTCAGGTATTTTCAGGATTTTATGTACTAATTTACAGAAACAACAATATAAAGGAATTATGGAAGGATAAAACTGAACAACATGGTAATTCCTATAAAGCTTATTCTAAGGAGGTCCCATTATTGGCCAAGGCTCCATTTTTATAGTACAGAATTGAAAAGTATTACTTAATTTTTTCTACTTGGACAATGTTCTAAACAGATTTTTCTCATTTATTTTAAAGAAGTCATCATTGTAACCGTTATGGCTCCAGAAGCAAACAAATACACAATTTTAGTAGTGTCTAATGTATTTTATGAAACAGGCTTACTTACCCGTCATAGATGTCAGTTTTTTGAGTAGCAGCATTATTGACCATGAGTCATATTTAATTTAAACGGCATAAACACAAATAGCATCTTAAAATGCTGCTGATCTTCCTGCACTAGAATAGTACTTCCAGCAAGACAGAAATGCTGAGTTGCATATTTTGGAGAGATGGTTGGTGACAAGATACTCACACTTCTGGGATAGCTGTGAGCAAGATGATAGAAAAGGTACCAGCAGTACTTAACTTGAACTTCAGGTGCCTGTGGCTTCTTAATAATGAATAGCAGTTATCTCAAATACTGCTTTACCTATTGCTGCATAAGAAATTCTACGGCATCATAGCAGTTTTAAACAAACAGATTTTTGGTCAAGAATTGCAGTGCCACTTAACTGAATGCTTCTGGCTCAGAGTCTCTCACAAAGCTACAGTTAAAATGTTGACCGGCCTGCATTCATCTCAGAGCTTGATAGGGAGAGGTTTTGCTTCCGAGCTTACTCATGTGGCTGTTGGCAGACCTCAAGTCGTGGCTGCCTGGTGGCTAGAGGCATCAATTCCTTGCCACATGAGCCTCTCCATAGGCTACTCACAGCATGGTAGCTTAGTTCCAACAGAGCAAAGGCTCAGAGATAGAGCAAGAGAGGATGGCCAGGACAGAAGACAGTCTTTGAAACTTAATTTCAGAATGACATCCATCGCTGTTGTGCTATTTTGTTAGAAGTCTTTAGGTCGGGCGCCTGGGTGGCTCAGTTGGTTAAGCAACTGCCTTCGGCTCAGGTCATGATCCTGGAGTCCCGGGATCGAGCCCTGCATTGGGCTCCCTGCTCAGCAGGGAGTCTGCTTCTCCCTCTGACCCTCCCCCCTCTTGTGTGCTCTCTCTCTCTCTCTCTCTCATTCTCTGTCTCAAATAAATAAATAAAATCTTAAAAAAAAAAAAGTCTCTAGGTCTAGCCAGCCACACTCAAGGATCACAAGGCCATGATTGTCAAGACACAGGAATCAGTGGGGACCATTTTAGATGCTGTCACCTTTTGTGAACTATCTGCCTACCAAAGATACATGGTTTTCTAAGGAACAGATGTAGCCAGGCAGCTTAGAGTATCCAGTTTCTGTACTTTTCATAGAACTGAGGATTCTTTGTACCACTTCCTAAGGTTCCTTTTTAGGGAGAAATGTAGGTAGGTGGGGAGATCAGGGAGGATATCTGTTATGTTGTAGTGTCTTTGACTAGTGGTCAAGGATACAAAACCAGACCTGCTAGGTTAATCAAGTTGACTCTTATTGATAGACTCTGATTAGTTAAAGATACTGCAGGAGTGAATAGCAACAGAATAAGAGCTCAAGCATGTTATTCTTCAGTATTTGAATGCTCTGATTTAGGACTATATGGAATATTGCTTCTGTTCATATTAAAAGAAACTAGTATGTTTTGAAGACTAAGACATTTCAAGGGATGCAGAATTTACAGAGAGGAAATGGCTTTTTTTTTTTTTTTTTAAGATTTACTCATTTTAGAGAGAGAGAGCACGCACGTGTGTGCACAAGCAGGGGAGGAGCAGAGGGAGGAGGACAGGGGAAGCGACTCCCTGCTGAGCATGGAGCCCGTCGAGGGGCTGTATCCCAGAACCCTGAGATCATGACCTGAACCAAAATCAAGAGTCAGATGCTCAACCGTCTAAGCTACCCAGGCGCCCCGTGTGTTATTTTAGCTTTATTTTGTGATTTCTCAGCATAGCCATGTTTTGTTGGTATGTACTGTCATACATACAGTATGTCCTGCAGGGTATACAACAAAGAACTCTAGATACCAAAAGAAAATGACTTAGTATGGAAAATTAACAGAGAGAAACAGCATAATGGGTAAAAATCTAGGAAACAACTACTTTGGAGAATTGATCTCAGATCTCTCTACTTTTCTGTATCCCAACTGATAACCATTCTCGTTCAGGCCCCGTTGAGTTCATTCAGAATTATTGCAACCTGACTTCTAACTAGATTCTTTCCTCTAGACTTAATTGAAAGGAATGAATTTTTTCTACCTTGTTTATGAGTATTCTCTATTTTTTAAAATAAACTTTGGGGTATAAACAGCATTCAGTAAAATGGCCATATTTTCAGTGTACAGATTTGGGTTTTTGACAATACATTGGTCGAACCACCACGATTAGTGTGTAGTGCCATTTTCATCCTTCCAGAGGATTCCCTTGTGCATTTTCTCAGTCATTCCTCACCCTCCACCCCTAGCCTCAGGCAACCCCTGATTTTCTTTTTATTTTGATACATGAGATTTATCTTTCCTAACGTTTCATTTAAATGAAATGATTATATGTAATTTTTTTTTGTGCCAGCTTCTTTCACTTAGCATAATGTTTATGAAATTTACCTGTTATTTCATATATTAGTTGTCTTTCTTATTACTGAATGGTATTCCATCGTATGGATGTGCACTCTGTTTATTCGTTTACCTGTGGTGTGTTCATTTGGATTATTTAGAGTACTGGGCAATTATTGGGGTCTGCAAGGTAGGGGTCCAGCCCCCCTGTTTTTATTAAAAAGTTTTATTGGAAATCAGCTAGCTATGCCCATTCCTTTTGTATTGTCTGTGGCTGCTTTCAGGCCACGATGGCAGAAATGAGTAGTTGTGACAGAGATTGACCACATTACTCTCTGGCCATTTCAGAAAAAATTTGCCTGCCTCTGCTATGATGAATAAAGTGCCATGAACATTCACTTACAATATTTGTTTGGACATTTGTTTTCATTTTTCTTTCAGTTCCTAGAACTGGAATTGCTGCGTCATATGGTGATTGTATATAAGAAAATTGAGTTTATATGAAATTAAGTTTATAAAAATTGCTGGTCATATGATAGGTGTCACGTTTAAGTATGTAAGAAATTGCTTTATCCAAAGTGATAATACCATTTTATATTTTCACCACCAGTGTATAAGAGTTATATTCTCTCCATATCCTCTCAAGCTTGCTGTATTAATCAGGTTTTAAAAAACGTTTTAGCCATTCTGGTAGTTGTATAATAGTATCTTAGTTTGATTTAATTTTGTACATCTTGATAACTAATGATGTTTAAGTATCTTTTTATGTGCTTATTGGTCATTTCTATGTCTTTGATATGATGAAAAATCTGGTAAAATCTTTTGCCCTTTTTGGTATTAGGTTTTCTTCTTAAGTAGTAAGAAGTGTTTGTATATTCTTACAAACCCTCTGTTAGTTATTTGTATTGTGAATATCTTCCCCCATTCTGTGCCTGAAATTTTTTATTAAAAAGGCTTCATTTTTATTTCTCCAGTTTTCTAGTTATTTAAAGTGGGAGGGGGCCCCTGGGTGGCTCAGTTGGTTAAGCGACTGCCTTCGGCTCAGGTCATGATCGTGGAGTCCCGGGATCGAGTCCCATACTGGGCTCCCTGCTCAGCGGGGAGTCTGCTTCTCCCTCTGACCCTCTTCCCTCTCGTGCTCTCTGTCTCTCATTCTCTCTCTCTCAAATAACTAAATAAAATCTTTAAAAAAAAAAATAAAGTGGGAGGATAAATTGGGTCTGCTTTGTTAGTCAGGGACAGTAGATTTTTTTTTTTTGTTCATTGCTCTCTCTATCTCTAGTGAGTAGCATAAAGTGTGGCAAAAACTAGCTGTCCAAAGGTGTTTTCTCAATTAATATTTAGAATACCAACAATAGGAATCATGTATTACCTAGACTGTTTCCTGAGAATAAATGAGTTATTTTTCTTTATTATAATTCTTTTCAAATTATGAAAAATAAACATTCTATTTTGTTCTTGTTGAAGTTTAAAAGGTGACACTAGGGCATTTTGGTCTTGGTGGCCGCACTCTTATCTTCTAGAAGGTATTCATTACTCTTGTGCACAAGTATTACCCACCTGAACATTCATAATCCAATCAGACTTTTTTTGTGTTTTCAAAACTGATTTGTTATATAGGTGTCCTTTAGTTATTAGTCACTGAAGAGCTAAAGAAAAGTTTCTAGTAACATTTTGTTTCAGTGATTTAAAAGAAAGGAATGGTGTTCAGTGTTTCTGTACTAACAAAATTAATTTCATATGTATAAAAGAGTGAGCCTTGAACTAAGGTTTGTGGGCGGTATTTTTTTGTTTTTGACAGATTTTTAAAATTTGTTTTGGAAATTTTCTAACACATTATGTACCTTTTTTTCCAAGATTGAAGAATGAAAAGGCATTGCGTCTCAACCTTATTGGTAGGTAGATTTACTCATTTGACACTCTGGCTAAACCATAGTGAAGTTCTGCTCTGTGCCTATTTTTCCTTTGATTCTTCTAGGGAATTTTCTTTACTAGACTTAATTAAAACAAAACAAAGTAAAATCAGTCATTAGCTCTTAGAAAGTATTAATATCTAGCTCAGTTTTTCAGAAACTATTTAGTTTATATTTACCTACCTACCTACCTACCTACATCTCTGTCTGTCTGTCTCTGAAGTTTAATTCTAGCTCCCTAGCCATTAGAATTAGGAAGGATTGTGGTCTAAGTATTTTGGAAACAGCAGTTTATATTTAGTGATGTGGATACATGCATCCTCAATCTGTATCTCAGTGTCACAGTCTTTTTGGGGGGGGCGGATTTATTGTTAGTAAATTTTTATTTATAAGTCTGACTTCAAAATAGTGACTCTTAGGGGCGCCTGGGTGGCTCACTTGGTTAAGCGTCTGCCTTTGGCTCAGGTCCTTATCTTAGGGTCCTGGGTTGGAGCTCCATGTCAGGCTCTCTGCTCAGCGAGGAGTCCGCTTCTCCCTCTCCCTTGGTTCATTCTCTCTCTCTCTTCGCTCTTTCTCAAATAAATAAATAAAATCTTAAAAAAAAATAATGACTCTTAGGCTTTATTTATTTGTTTTTTGTTCTGTTTTAATCTTAAGCTTTACTTGAACACTGATCTCTAATGCTTTCTCAGATAATAGAATAGTATTTCTAAGTAGGTCATCCATATCTGAGGTAGGGCCATTTTTTGATCTGTAATACTGAGAAATCTAACTGAAAGAGACCCTGATGGTCAGATTACTCTTTGCATAGTATCTGGCAGATCTTGCATGGTTAATATATTTACTAATTTGAGGCCCTGGACAGGCCACTTAACCTTTCTCATGTGTGACTAGGAATAATAATGTACTAATCCTCATAGGTTTGTAAAGCTCTTGACATAGAGCCTGCTGCTTATTAAATGTTCAGCAACGACCATCTTCGCCATTAATCTAACCAAATTTTCATTTTATTATTTTAGACAAGTGTTCTGTCTTTTGCTTTTTAAGTACTTAGAACTTCATGTTCTGTTAATGTATTTTTTTTTTAATGCATCCTTATCGGATAAGAATTACATACTGAAAGGCATCTCTGTCTCTTCCTCAAATTAAAATGTGACATTTTATTTCTGACATTTGATTTCTGACAGACTGGTTTAATTAGCTTTGAGCCCACGCAAGCCCTTTATATTTAACATTGAAATAAATTTTGATAGTATTTTAAACACATTGATGTTGAAAATTATAATGAATACTCATTGCTTAAGTGATGATTTATGGTGTTAACCTGTCTTTGTACTTTGTACTTGTTGTTATAGGTGAAAAACTGCAGTGGTTTCAAAGTCATCTTGATCCCCAAAAAGTAGGATATTCAAAGAGAGATGCATGTGAATTAATTGAAAGGTAAACACTGGGTATGTTATGAGCAAAGGGTCAGAAAAGGGAATTCTGCAACCTGGTTCTTCAAGAGACAGTTCTGTTCTGGATTTATAGAGGAGTAAATGGGTTTTGTTACCAAAAGTCTTTAGATTCACACCCTGGTTTAGCCACTCTAGTAGGTTTGTAAGGTTTCTGAGCCTCAGATTGTTACTTAACCCAGTTTCTTGGATCAGGAAAGGCTTTCTATGGAAATACCGTCTCAACTGACTTCTGAAGAGTAAAGGTTAGCAGACTGAGGTAAGGTTAACTGAAGAGCTTTTAGGCAGACAGAACAGTATCAGAGGTACAAGTGACTGATTTAGTGATCCGCCAGACATTAAGTATAATCAAAATAATAGGTTCAAGGAGGGCATTGTGACAGATACAGCTCACAGAAGACCTCAGGCATCACTGTAACAATTTGGACCTTTTCAAAGGACGTTGGGAGCCACAAGAAGTTTTTTACAACAGGCACCTGAGATGATCATATTTGTATCTTAGAAATGTCACAGTCATGAGAACGATGATGATGGCCTGAGGGCACATGGCTTTGGCCAGGACACTGTTGAGAGGCTGATGAAGCAGTCTAGGCAAGAGATGATGATGTTGGCCTCTGCATGGTTAGTAGCAGTATGGTGAAGAGAAATGAAGATTCCAGAAATATTAAGAAGGTAGAAAGTCTCAATCTTTAGTGAAAACTTAGATATGGCATTAAAGGGAGAAAGTGGAGTCAAGGAGGATGTGTGCATTGTTCACTTGAGCAAGTGGGTGGATGGTTGTACTATTTCCTGAGGTAGAGAGCCAAAGAGATGGAACAGGTTTGGTGGGGGATGGGAGCGGACGGAGGTGAGCACAAGTTCACTTTTGAGGTGTTAAGCCTCCATGGGACATCCAAATGGAGATGTCCAGGAGGTGGTTGAATACGAGGATCTGTTAGCAGATACTTGAATAGCAGTCAGTGATCTGGTTGCTGAAATTTTGGACATGGTTGGGTTATGTAGGGACCATCTGAAGTCTGGGGACACAAGGAACTCAGAAGAGTATAAAAATTTAAAGGATAGGTGAAGGCTGGGGTTTGTTTTAAATGGGGTAATATAAGCATGTAAGACTTGTAACTCAAATTGCTTTCTCGTTTCTCAGGTATTTAAATCGATTCAGCAGTGAACTAGAGCAGATTGAATTACATAACAGCATCAAAGACAGGCAGGGAAGGCGGCACTATTCCCGGGAGACAGTCATCAAGCAGACAATGGAACGTGAGCGACAACAGTATGAAGGATATGGCCTTGGTGTGTTCTCTGTGACTTTCTTTTTTTCTTTCTAAAATACAAAGGCATATCAGGTTTCTAATTCATTTCAAAGATTCAATTTTATTTATTCTATTTATTTAGTTTGAATTTCTTCTTTTGATTTCCTTTCTTTTGTGAGTATATCAAATAATTTTTTTTTTTAAAGATTTTATTTATTTATTTGACAGAGAGAGAGATAGTGAGAGCAGGAACACAAGCAGGGGGAGTGAGAGAGGGAGAAGCAGGCTTCCTGCTGAGCAGGGAGCCCAAGGTGGGGCTCGATCCTAGGACCCTGGGACCATAACCTGAGCCGAAGGCAGATGCTTAATGACTGAGCCACCCAGGCGCCCGCAAATTAAGTTTTTAAATTCTGATAATAAAAACACTGAAGTATTAGGACCCTAAAGGAAATATCATGTTGTGTTGGTCCCAGCCTATTGATGGCAATTCTATCAGCTAGAAATTCCTGAGGCACTCACCTGGCCTCTAGTACTTGCGTTGAGCCCCCATAGGTATTTCCCCAACTGGAGCCATTATTGTGGCTGGCACAGCCCTTATGGTTCTTACTATGATTGTAGGACGCGTCTAGTAACAACCGTCAGGGAAATTTGAAAAAAAGAAAAGCCAAGATTTATTACTCACAAAGTCTAGGGGGTCCATAGCACGCCCAGGGCCACACAGAGAGGTCAAGCGTAGAGAGAAGAAGGGAGTGTGGACTTGGGGCTCTACCTTTATTAGGGTCTGAAGGTGAGGTGCCTGGGGTTTCACATGTTCACTCTTTTTTTTCCCTGCTTATTTATTTGTTTGTTTATTTTTATTATTATGTTAATCACCATACATTACATTAGTTTTTGATGTAGTGTTCCATGATTCATTGTTTGCGTATAACACCCAGTGTTCCATGTAGAACGTGCCCTCCTTAATACCCATCACCAGGCTAACCCATCCCCCCACCCCCTCCCCTCTAGAACCCTCAGTTTGTTTTTATTGGTGAATTAAAAACAAATGGGAGTTAGGGCGTGAGAAGGGAAAAGTGGGGTCACTTGAGTGGTGATTTAGTAGGTTACTAGGGCTTTCCAAAAGGGGACTTTGATGGGAGGGCATAGCCTGGTTTCTTATTTCGTTGTTTTGCTGGTAGTGTGTCATACAGCTGGCAATATTTTTATTAGAGAAGGGTGTCTTTGATACAGATGTCTACACAGTCAAAAGCTTAGTGTCAGGCACTTACACTGTGGTAACACTAGAAACCCTGAAGTAGCTGGTTGGCAGTTCGTCTTCATCATTTCTAAAAGTAAGCTTCTTCACTGAAAAAAATAACAGAAAATAGCTGTAGCACTAGATAGGATGTGATTTAAACCTTTAGAGCTTACTGTGTAACAGGACAAGTTATTTAACCCTCCCCCCACCAGGTTTTGTTTTCTTCAATTTAAAAATTGAAATAAATAGTATACCTACTTCCCCCGTTGTTTAAAAGTTACATGAGGCTTCATTTATCAAAGTGCCTGACACAACCTAATACAAGGAGGTTCGGGAAGAGCTTCCAACTCTGCTGTCTGTGTCCCTTTCACTGAGTAGTCACCTCGTAAGAAGGTAAAATTGGTTTATGCTCCTAGATCTCCCATCTCCTCCTGTTTCGTTTTCCCTGGAACCCACTTTAATTAGTTCTTATCTCCATCACCCAACAAATACTGGTCACTGATGACCTCTTAAGTTGCTAAGGAGAACAGTTGCTATACTGGGTGTTGATTCTCAACTTTTCTCTGGCATTTGATACAGATGATCACTTCATTTTCTTGTCACACTTTTCATTTGGTGAAGAAGACCTAGCCCTTCCCTAATTTTCTTTCTAGCTCAGTTTTCTAAGTTGAATCCTCCTCCTCTTCACAAACTAAATATCGGCCAAGGTTCCCATCCTTGGGCTGCTTCTTGTTTTCTACGTATACCAATTCCTAGTTCATTTCACTCAGCCTGTGGTTTTAAATACCATTTACATGGTGATAACTTTGAAATTTGTATCTGTTGACCCTAACTTGTCCCTAGAACTCGAGACTTGCATTATCAAACCGGGGTTTCTCAAAATCTACTTGAATGTCTTCTAGGCATCTCAGACCTGACGTCCCAAAGCAAAGTCCAGCTTTTCTCCTAAAACTTGTTCCCACACGATCTGTATGTCAGACAGCAGCATCACCACATGCCCAGTTTCTCAGGCTGGAAACCCGTAGTCACTTTCTCACTCCATCCAGCTCGTCAGCAAAATGTATTTTGCATCTGATAATTTGTGCTGCTACCACCACCACCTCCCTAGTCCAAGCCACCATTGTTTCACCTGTTCCATTGTAACAGCCTCCCAGTTGGTCTCTGTGCAATGGCTCTTTCCTCCTAGAGTCTATTCACCACTAGCTGGCAGATGAATTAACAGAGCATGGCCAAGGTCAAACATGTATTTGAGCCAGCACAGAAACTCAGATCCAGCCTTCTTCTAGCTGTGCCACAGTGCTTCTTCCAGAGTCAGGGAGTGTGTCTGGTAAAAGGGTTGTGATCTCTGACAACTTCCTAAGTGCCTCTGGACATAGGCAAATTGTTAGTGAATTCTGCAGGTTCGGAGAAAACTGGATTCTGACACCTCTCCTTCCTCACCCCATGTGGTATAACTACTTCTGACTTATTTTATTATTATTTCTTTTTTTAAAAATGGTGCTTAATTTACACCTTTTAAACACTTGACCCCCTCATGCTCATTTTCTGAAACTATAGTCATAATCAGCATATAGTTGCGTCAAGCATTTTTATTTTATCTTTTCCATTCATTGATTCTGATTTTAATTAGTATTTTATTGCATTGGCCAGGTTTTTTGCAGTCCTGTTCCAGTTTTTTATACATGTCATTTGTGTTTTACCAATAACTATGATTGTGCATATTGGTTTATGGTAAACTTTCTAATCATGGTGAGGAACTGTTAAATACCTAGTGTTTTTTTTTTTTTTAAGATTTTATTTATTTATTTGAGAGAGAGAATGAGGTAGAGAGAGAGAGCATGAGGGGGGAGGGTCAGAGGGAGAAGCAGACTCCCTGCTGAGCAGGGAGCCCGATACGGGACTCGATCCTGGGACTCCAGGATCATGACCTGAGCTGAAGGCAGCTGCTTAACCAACTGAGCTGCCCAGGCGCCCAATACCTAGTTTTTTACTAAAAATGGATTTAAGTTTTATTGAGTTGCTTTGAGCAGCTACTGATTATAGTTTCAAAATTTTTTTCACATTTTGAACAATGTGATTTTTAAAAATATTAAAGAATACTTCTATTTCTCAGATAAACTCTACCTTGCCAAGGTGAGGTATATGCTTGAAAAAAAATTTTACTTTTCACCAAGAAAATATATTTAAAAATCTAGCCTATTATTTTAGGGGGTTGATCATTAGAAATTGCCATGTGCCTTTCACAGATTAAATGGACAGGGTTTATCTCATTAATAGGTTTATTTCATTTTATAGATTCTATGCTAGAATTTATTATTTTATAGCATTCCTCTTAAATCACATTCTTAAACTAAGCCCTTACTTTTCATATAGCATTATAGCAGTGCTTTGAAATTTTGTTTTGCTTGGATTTTCTTGCTGTCTGTCACTTATTCATTGTATCTGAGATAATAAACAAGAAAACTGTAAAATGTTGTAATTTAAAGAACACTGCTTAATAGATATAATTATTTTCTTTCCCAGAGATTCCAGACATTGTAAATGCAGGTAATCTGAGAACTTTTAGGTAAGTCTGTCTCTGTCTATTATCCCTGGAGGCTGCATGTAAAATACATGAGACATAAACTTTCTTCCCTTTTGTACTTAGACATTAGAGCTAAAAAAACTCAGGGGAGGGGGAGTGATATGAATAACCTTTTCTCTTTTATCAAAGTAAGACTTCCTAATTTGTGTTTATTTGAAACACATGATGTGCACTGACATGATAGTGACATGGTGCCTTTAAATTCCTTAATACGGTACTTAAAAGAACTTGGTCTCACTATTCCTCCCCAATTCGTATTTTTTTAAAAGATAAACTAACAGCAACAGGCTCAATGGCTCAGAGTTCTATCCCTAGACTGTTCGCAGCACCCTCTTTTGGAGAAGATGGTTCCTGGGAAGTGATACCAGAGAAAAGGTTAAGTCGTCAAGAACTAGTTAGTTCAGTGGTTGAAAGATGATTTCTGTTGTAACAATAACATATTTTTGGTTACTGAAACTTTGACTTCCCACCAAGTGTGAAAGGAAAAATCATTTCTGACTGCACTTTGGAGATTTGCGGGTACAATATAGTTACTACTTTTGAGGTTCTTGATACTATATGGCCCGATGGAGCGTTCAGGTTAGGGAGAATAAACCAATGGCAGAGCCTCCTTGTCACTCCTGCCTAATAGTTTCCTGTACTGCGTTGGAAGTTTGGGATATGGGGGAATCTCTGTGCAGTTACTGCTGTTGTAGGTTAATGAGAAGATGTAATATGTACGGACAATGCAAGCCTTCCTTCTTGGTACTTTTTTTCCGTAATGCATATATTGTTTGTTTCTAGGGCATTTGAATCTGCAATAAATGTATAAGCTTTGTTCTGCTGCTTTCAGTTTTAAATATTGACTGCTTCGCCGTCTTGCACCCCAGCAACCCTCTCTATATACTCTCTCTTTTGTTGATTTAGGGAATGGGATTTCGATCTGAAGAAATTGCCAAACATTAAAATGAGAAAAATTTGTGCTAATGATGCAGTCCCCAAGAAGTGTAAGAAGAAAACTGTTACGGCTGTGGACAAAGATTTAGGGGAGCTGGAACTAAAAGATGAATCAAGTGATTCAGATGAGGAAATGACAGCAGTGGCCTAATTGTCCTTTGCTTGAGGTGAAAGCAAATAATTGGAGAGCTTCAAGTTTTGTTTGACCTGACTATGGTTAACTAACTGTCCAGATACAAGAATTTGCTATGTAACTTCTTTCATGATGAGAATCCCATTTGCAGTTTCAAAAACAGTGTTATGATTTTCATTTAAAAATGAATGTTGCTTTTTGTTTACATTAAATTGCTAAAATAGATATAGTGAAATAAAAGCACAGTCTAAGATCCATTTAATCTGAATTTCCCGGGCAGGGGGAGTGATATGAATAAGGACAGAAATGTTTTGATTTTTTTCCTCATGTTTACCTCGGATCACCTGATCTCACATTCTGGGCCTTGTATAGCAACATGTTTGCTGTAAGGGTCCTAAGGATACTTCTTGAGCAGTAATGATAGCAAAATTGGCTTTCAGTAATAGTGTTTCACTAATCTTCCTCTTAAATATAACACCTATTTTCTTTCCTTGTAAAATAAGGAAAATGTGATAGGGAATAAATATACACTGATAGATTGTACGTTATTTTTACTATCTTTAAGCCAGAGTTAAATGGTAAAGTAAAAAACTGGTGACTGTTTTCATGATGTTGGCCTCCCACACTTAATCTGTTATCTTTTGATCGAGGAGATAAATGATTTCAGGTGAACTCTGTTTCTGTATTGTTTTCTGCTTTCTCATGAAAAATTATAGGTTTTATTTTTGGAAACAACTAATGATTAGAGAATCAGTTATTGCAATTGTGTTATTTGTGTTATTTATTCTTCTGAGAGATAGGCTAAATGACATATAACTCAGTATTTCAAGTATCATGAAAGACATGGATGTGTTAGAATGTTGTTCTTCGTAGAACTTGTTAAAGGCAATTATCTTTTAGGCTATTTTCTAAAGGATACAATGCAAATGTATTTGAGTATTTTCAAGAAAAGAAACACAAAACATTAATGCTGTAAGAGGTTAACTAGATATCAACTAAGTCTTAATAACTTATTTAAAATGTTACAGCTTTTTTATTATTGAAAATTAAGAATAAAATTTATTTTCACAATTTCACTTCTTAAAGTTCTAATTATTTCATTTTTTTCAGTGTTTTAACTGATGCTGATTTGCTTTTCTTTAGCAATTTTCATAAAAATATGACTTTATGGTTACAGAAGCTTCAGTCTCTTTAGTCATTAGAAAGTGTCCTTTTTTTGTTTCAAAATGGCTATAAAAACTGAATTTTAAATTATAGTAAAGAGAATAGAAACTGTTTTATCCTGTCTATTTAAAAAGGCATACTGTTAGAGAAATAACTTAAGAAAATGGCAGATCATCCTCCCCCTCAGACATTTGTTCCTAGTTTTCCCTATACCATCAAAGCAAAAAAGACAACAGGCACACTGCTTGGAACTAGAGTAGGTAGATACTTGTTGAATGGATGAATTTACTTTACCATTTAGGATAATAATTATAATTCATAATCACATTTTATTCTATATCATTATATAGAATAATAACGTGGCAGTAACAGTCATAATTTGTTGTTAGCATAATGCTTTTAAGTGATATCCTTAATCATTGTCTGTAGAACATGTTTTTTCTGCAGTGATAACTTGTGCTGCCTTATCTAGATTCTTTTCCGGTCAGTAGTGTGTCTTTGTAAGAGTGCTTCTGCAGTCCGTGGCCATGGAACAGAGTAAAAGCAACTCACTTCACTTGGTTGGCAGTACTGTGCAGACCGGGGGCTGGTAAACTTTTTTTGTAAAGAGCCAGATAGTAAATATTTTAGTTATTGCAGCTGAAATGGCAATTTCTGTTGCATATTTGTATGTGTGTGTGCACGTGTGTGCGTGCGCGTGCGTTTTACCACCCTTTACAAAGGTAAAGATCATTCTTAGTTCATGGCCATACACAGAAGAGGCTGCAGGCTGGGCTTGGCCTGCTTGCCATCATTTGCCGACAAGCTGAACTCGCATGGATATGGACCACTTGTACATTTCTAAGCTCAAAGCAGCTAACTCTGACATTGGTGGTCTCTTTCTTAATATCTTAGTCAGTTCTCTGCCTCACTGACATAGACCATAGGCATCTCTTTAGGACTCTGTTCACCTCAGATAGAAGCTTTTTCTACTCTTCTATCCCTTGTGCTACTGGAGCAGGAGATTAGATAGGGGCCCTCTTTGTTCTACCAACACTTCCTCTTCTCAGTTCTTTCAAGTTCTACCACTGTCTCCCTCTGCCTGTTATCTTACCTCCCAGAAGAACCTTCTGCCCATTCCACGACTTTGGCTCTTGACTCAGTTTTCTTCTCTCCTATTTCAGTCATGTTACTGATCCCGGAAGCCTTGCAGATAACAAATCTAACATGGTGACCTTTACCTTTCCCAGTCCTTTTCTCCATCCCATGAGGCCTACCCGGGGTCACACCCAGATCCTTATCAGCTCCTGAAACTCCTGTAAACTTGACAGACTCTTCTGTTCTCCCTCCACTATCCCCCATCCCCCTCCATTGCTGAAGTTCCACGCTTTGACCTCATTCTTTCATTGTGCACCACCTCTCTCCTGTTTCACGTTATTGCTTCAGATTTTGTTGAGATTCAGATTTCCTTGCCTCCCTGCCTATGCCCTGAATCCCTCTGCCCTGGGCTGCATAGTATTCCTCTTTCAAAACTCAGACCAAGTAACACTTATCTTTCTCCTTCATACCTGTTGTTCCCAAGCAGCTCAGCGTTGCTGGAGAATATCAGAGAGGTTTTTGTGTTCATGTTTGCACATCGCAAGTGGATTCTCAGTACTGATGAGCAATTTTACTGTGTTCCTGTAGTAAGTTCCCTTTCTAACTTTGAGATAATTCTTTCACTACCTTTTTCCATATGTTCTAGCTCAACTTTAATAGTTGCCTCTTCAACATTCATCTGTTCACTTTATATGTATCATTGAGAAGATACAAGCTATCATTTTCTTTTCTTTCGATTTTGTGATTGTAGTAGCTTTTCTTCTTTCAGAGGCAAATACTCCTGCTTGTGTTCTGGATCTCACTCCCTACTGTCTCCTGAGGAACCTTGAATCTCTCCCAAGTTTTTCACCTAACTTCTCAAGCCAGAAAACTGCCTGTAAATCATCCTTGATTCTTCTCTTTCTCTTTTCCACACCCTCCCCAATCTTAATTTGATTATTGAGTATTTCTGGTTCTGTTTCCAAAAAGAGAGTCAAATCAGTCCCTGTCAGGCCATCTCCATGTCCTGCCTGTGCTGTGTCCCATTTGTGAGTGAGGAATCACTCGTCATCATGCCACCATTCTTGCACCTGGGAATCTGTTCTCCAGAGTTGCTCATGAATTTTTGGAAATGTACACTAAAATATGCTACTCCTTTGTTCATATTGTTACAGTATCATTCTGTCACTTTCTTCATGGTATGTTTATTTGATGGTTATAATTTTGTTTCTAATCACTTTTTTTTTGAGATTTTATTTTTTAGAGCAGTTTTAAGTTCACTTGAAAATTGAGAGGAAGGTAAAGAGATTCTACCCCCTGCCCCCACACATGCATAGCTTCCCCCATTACTGACATCCCCCACCAGAGTGGCATATTTGTTACAATTGCTGAACCTGCATTGATAATCTGCCACATTTCCAATGAAATTCACATTCCCTACAGTGGCCAAAGAGGCCTGAAATGATTTGATTCCTGACTGCTTCTCCAACCTCAGCTTCTTTCACTTGCCCTTGGCTTACTGTACTTCAGATCACAGGCCTTCTGTCCATTCCTAGAATGGCCAAGCTAGTTTCTATGGTGGAGCAGCTCTGCTGGCACCCTGATGACCTTGTGTTTGTCCACGTAGGCCAGGCTTGGTTCAGGCTGACCTGAGCCTTAGAATGAATGCCCTATGAGCTTCCTGGAGCACAAGGATATGGGACCCGCAGGAACTACCGTGGGCCACTTCATGTTTGCCTCCCTATCTTTCAAGGAGGACATGTGAGACAGTTTGTCCTTGCCTCTGGATTTTGATAAAGTATGAGACCATTCCACTGTGAGTCCCTTTAGGGTGTAGCTGCAGGCCACAGACTTGCTTAGCTGCAACAGGGAATCAGCATCTCGGCACCAGGGTGCCCCGCTCCTTATGTTGCATTATCATATCGTTCATCTATCATGCCTTATTTTTGTGTCTTCCCTTGGGTCAAGACTCATGGGGAGCTGGCAGTTTGCCTTTCTTCTGCTATCTCTGTAAGTAATAAACTGTCAGACTCCTAAAAAGGGTGTGCTCTTTCCTTAGCAGCTGAATCTTGCCACTTGCCACGAAGGAGTTTGGTTACTGTTCCCTCTGCCTGCATCGCTCTGTCCCTGAGTTAAAGTATTTCCTTGTTAATCACTTCTTTATTCCTTTCTAGAATGTCAGGGTTGGTCAGTCTATGTTGGCTTTAATGTAATATGAATATGTTCAGACCCTGCTTAAAAACACAGACTATTATAAAAATCTTAAGAACCCAAGCTTTTTTGAATGTTGCAGATACATATCTGCAGAAATCCTGGTAAATTAGTCAAAGAGTATAGAAACCATAACAAAAGTTTAGGTCACTTATTTAATATACAAAGTTTTTCTTTCACAGGTAATTATTTTCCTTAATTTGTCTTAGTACACATTATTCACAAAACAGTAAGTTGTTAATGCAAGAGAATTAGGTAAAACCAAAAAAGTACAAATGCTCAATCTCAAAAATTGCACACAGTTAAAATAATTTTTCCTTGTTTGTTTAAATACAATCTCCAATTTCAAAATGGGCTTTCTCCAGATTTGGAGGAAACACTGCAGCCCAAAATAACAGTACTTCCTTTGAGCTGTATTGATATGTAAAATAGCACCTTTGGGCTGACTTAAGGAAAGAAAAAAGGTTTTTCATCTTTCTTAGTTAAAGTTAAGTCCTATACAATTATTACATAACAACGACAATAATGATAGTAAGTTTAAAGAGCTCTACTTTGTTCCAAAATACTCGCTGGCAAGGTAAGGAAAGGTAAACTGTCAGGTGAATGCAGTAATCTTTCCCACCTCACCCCCTTGACAATTAGAGTGTCTTAATGATGTCCTTGCTCTAATGAGCTAATTTTCCAGCCAAACAATAGGTTAGTTTTAGGGGTATCTAAGGACCTTTTGCAAAACAAGATAAACGCGGCTATCTGTCTGGGACAGTAATCACATGTCATAGCAGCTCAGAGTGAGATTTAATCCTGGGACATTTTGAGAGACTTCTTCAGTATATACCTATCTTCAGTTTCTTCATTGCTGTATCGCAGGTTTATATTGGATCATTTTTGCTTTGATTTTTTTTTTTCATTTTTGTTTTGCTTGTGTTTGTTCTTAAACTTAATTGCCTTTGGACTTCACTTAAAAAAAATTGGGATTTCATTCCTTTACAATTCAGTCTTTGATACAATAAAAGTGAGAGTTCTTTTAAAAATTAACAGCATAAATGTCTGTGATTTACGGTATTGATACTACCAGATGCATGATTATAAAAAGCCAGGGTTTTTAACAGAATTGCGTTGTTCATTCTTCGATTTCAGTCCTTTGACTCATGTCCGTTTTACTTCTTACGTGAGCAGGTAAACATGCTTCAAAAAAATTATCCTTCTGGAGAGTAGTTTTTGAAGGGTATGTCCAGTCCACAAAAGTATTGTCACAAAGCCAAATCCTTTCATTGAAAGGGCAGTTGCCACACAAATAGGAAAGAAAATCAATATTAGGTTTTAAATGCACATGATTATTTCCAATGGTTTGAACCATAAACGGCCATTGCAGGAAAACTTTTTATAAAAGATTTAAATTCAGGAGTTCAGGGTTTATAAAGGTCAGAAGAACAGCGAATAAAAAGCTGACTTTTAACCTGCTAGGGATCTATATTATTTTCTCATTACAAGAAACTCAAAGCCCGTACAAGTTAATTTTGAGAATTTATGTATTGTATTAAAACACCATGTCATGTTTTAGGGTTAAGACAGTAATGCTTATCTTTACTTT